CATGGGCCGGGGCCACGGCCCATCTAATTGGGCCACATGGGCCGTGGCCCATAGCTTGATGGGCCGCGGCCCCATCAAGAAAAATTCAATTATCTTAACAAAATTTTCAATTTTTACCAAATTGTCAATATTCGAACCAAAAAAATATACTCCTGTAGTATGTGTACCAGGTTAGGGTTAGGACAAAAAAAATTCAGATTTTTTACATTATAGTTCTATTATGAGTTCGGGGACTGTCTGTGTTAGCCAAGTGAATAGTTTCTTTACACAACTTGATGGGCCGCGGCCCATAGCCTGATGGGCCGAGGCCCAATTCGATGGGCCGTGGCCCCGGCCCATGGGCCGCAGAGCGGTCACCACTCCCACTCGGGCATTTCAGACTGTGATATATCAAAATTTAGTGTAGATATAGTCTAGTAATGGTATGCAAACACTGCTGGACTGTAGTACATGCAATGAGCATATATACGTTCATTGAGTACATCAGATAAAATGCGATATATATTCAAGGTATTAGTTAGTATTTAGTGGTATTTTTACACTCATGCTGTTCCAAATATGATTTTCTTCTTCATTTTAGGTACTGTACTACAAAAGAAAGCGGCAATATCCCACCAATCCGACCTAACGCAGGCTCTAATCCCTGCTGCTATCAGTGCTATAAAATAGATTAAACAAGAAGTCTTGAAGCGTAAAGGTATATGAGAATCATATTATTTGCAAACAGCTTAGATGGGCTATTCATATTGAAATACTTTAGCACTTTTCTGCAATTGGAACTGCCCATCAAACTCATGTTGGAGACTTCATTGGGGTTTTCAATTCATATTTTTCTCAACTATGAAGATCTTTTGAGGTTAACGAGGCATTAATAAATAAAGCTGAGGAATTTGTTTGTTCACTGTATGAAGAGGATATTAAGAATGTAAATGATACCAGGGCACGTCTATTTAACACTGGCAAACATAAGGATTATACTCTACACCCAACAATGATTCGCTGAAGAAGCATGTGGCCCTCAAATTAGTTCTTGAGTTGGCAAACTGCAAGTGTAAAAAAAATAGTCAAAATAATTTATGAAAGTTTGCCAAAATCAACTTAAATTGCACAGATTTTTGTTTTTGTATTGACTGCAAAAATCACAGTACACTTATAGAGGAAAAGTCGATTTTCGAGATAGTGGATTTCGAAAACAATTAAGAAGAAAGTGAATTAGATATTGCAGTTGATTTAATAGGTATCATTTATTTTTATTTTTTTCGGACATTTGTTAGTGTCGTAGTCTTGTTTCTAGAAATAATATTTCCTTTGTTCAAATACATAACCACATAAACTAAAAAATGACTAATTGTAATATTTCTGTTCACTATGTTATGTACATATTTAATTTTCATTTAATTTTCTTGACTTTTCCGGTAAATTTCTAAGTGAGAAATAACTGATTTATTTGTGTTTTCGTGCTCACAATGTTAATTTGTGAATTAATTGCTTAAATATAAATACGTTTGATAGCTTCTATAAAATGGATGTAGCTTTTTATGCTGTTCTTGTTGTAAACTGCTTGTGATTATTACATAAAATTTATTCGCTAATGTGAAAAGCGTTGTTGGTGTCGCTGCTTTCGAGGTCACTCGCGACTCTTGTCACACAATTAAAGTATTTTTTGCTGTTGGTTACATGTATGCCATATTTTTCGTAATCTACCTAATAAATTATGATTGACTGAGGAAGTCCGATTTTGGTCAGGCAAAACATTACAGGAATATATTTGTGTTAGTGTGCTGTAGGGCTCTCGAATTGCATAGTTCTTATGTATGTGTTGTAAACTTATAGTTATTGAATTTCCAGGAACCTCTTATATTCAATTTCGCATCAGGATTGTGGAACAAGCTGTAATGCGTTCAGTATGTTCTTTTTCACACAAAACTGAAGAATTTATTTAGTTACCAGATCTGCGCTACGAAACTCGTTTTCTGGGCGTTTTCAAGGCTTCGTTTCACTGCCCATATCCGTGGTAAGGATCTACAAGTGTTTGATAACTTACTTATACATTTTTCAACAACGTCTTAGCATTTGTTAACTAATAATAACTAAACAGGGCTATGGAAAGGCTGCCCAACTCAACGCAAGGTCGAGCAGTAATAACTAATATTCATCCGCTCGCTAACAGCTGATTCGATTCAATTGTTACGTCATGCAGAAGTCATTGTTCATTGCCGAAAATGTAGAGAATATAGGACAGATCGTAGCACATATTTCTTGTAGTAAAAGCGTCTTTTCCTTAAAACGTGCAACTTTTGGAAGTGGGAACAAGGCAATATTTGTTACTAAATTTTTTAAGGAACATTTTAAAATCATTTTCAGGTAGTTACCTGATGTGCGCTACGAAACTCACTTTCTAGGCCTTTTTCAGGGCCTCGGCTCGCGGCCTAATATAGGCACCGCACATTTATCTCTCATATTTCGCCCCTTCATATTATATGGTCTCACCACTCAAAGGTTCTGTATTTGCGCCTAAATTCTGATTTCATTGTTATGTATAAGTATATTTAATGTTGTGTTGTCTCCATTTATATATACTGTCTTGTCGTATAAACTCCGCTGTATATACAGTTTGTATACTCCACCCTTATCACTTTCACCACAGCAACCGACTCATTTCCCCACCTTGCACAACTGTCTATCTGTCTACAGTTTCCAAGAGATCCGGAACGTCCCGCAATGTGGATATCATCTATTGGCAGGACTGCTTGGTGTCAAGTCCAGAAGTCATCTCGCTTGTGTTTCACTGCTTGTGGACAGGACTTCGTTGATGGTGAGTGATAATGTGCCGTTATCAATTTCTTTAAATATTCCTAAGCTTCCTCATTTCAATGAAAAGCAGATGACAAACTACTGTTATTGGTAGACATAGGCCTACTTGCTTGTCTAATTGCAGACTTGACTTGTGCAAGGAATTAATCATCAATTGCCGTATGGTATTGTTTCTCTAGTTAGCAGGCAATCCATTAGTAAGTGTGAAAGGTTGAATACCTAAAGTTTAACGCCAGTGCAGAATGGTAATCGTACGATGTTGCAACTATGTCGAGATTAGTTAGCCAGTTATTTGTTTTCAAAAGCATGGACTTGATGGTGGGGGATGTCGTAACCGACCAGCAGTCGTGTGAACCACCCTTAGTGGGAGGAGAGCTGCAATCCTCTCGCACACAACTATCCCAGCATGAGATTGGAACCTGTGAAACTACCAGGGTGATAAGAGATGCGGTGACGAGCGTATTCCTAGATGGCGAATTCAATTGAATTCTGGTTATTTTTTGCATGACCACTGGCGTTAAACTTTAGTTATCTATTCAACTTTTACCCTTAGTAATAGATTACCTGCTAACTAGGAAAACAATACCTTATGGCAATTGATGATTAATTCCTTACACAAGTCAAATCTGCAAGTAGGCCTAGGCCTACCAATAACAGTAGTTTGTCATCTGCTTTCCATTGAAATGAGGGAGCTTATGAATATTAAAAGAAATCGATAACGGCACATTATCACTCACCATCAACAAAATGCTGACCGCAAACAGTGAAACACAAGCGAGATGACTTCTGGACTTGACACCAAGAGCCCTGCCAATAGAATAGATGTATCCACATTGCACGACGTTCCAGATCTTTTGAAAACAGGGGAATATAACTAAAGATCCATTTTGTTGTGTATACTATAAGTACAGCCAACGGAACAATACGAGATAATCATCTTCAATAGCTAAACAAAACGGAAATGTATAATCCGACTTGCAACTGACAGGAGCCAGCTGGGCGTTTTTGTTTTTTGCCGACCAGTAAGCAAAGTCACGTGACCCGTGCAAGTCCTCTATATAAGGGAGCATATTATACATATTTAATCTAATGTTTTTTGTTTCATATTTGTCAAAAGGGGTGCATGCCGCACATTTGTGTTTTAGGCCAGTACGGTCTTGTTCATGCATCCCGTTTTAAATAATAATTGTTCATTTATTTATGTATCACCATTACGAGACGAATAAACATACATACATACTCACCTGGGCACAATTAGAGCATTCGTTGGCGACATTGGTAGCAATTTGTCACACATGCAAAATGAATTAAGACGGACAGTTGGCTTTGTATGTAACGAAAAGCCTCGTCTATCATGAACTTAACACCAGTAAAATGTTTCCTAGTATACCGTAGTACCGGTAGGCCTAGTATAAATTTAAGATGTACCGGTACGTTAGTTTTGCTAATCTTTCCTAACGGTCTTTCCCATCGCTCAACCCATATAAATGAGTATTTCCCGTAGTTTAAAGCGATTTGCCGTCATACTCCTACAAGGGTGGTGACTACTCTACGGCGCATGGGCCGGGGCCACGGCCCATCTAATTGGGCCACATGGACCGTGGCCCATCAGAAAAAAATTCAATTATCTCACCAGAATTTTCAATTTTTACAAAATTGTCAATATTCGATCCAAAAAAAAAAAAAAAATCGCGGGATGCCACCAAACCTATTTCTTACGAGAAAGAAGCCTTTACATAAAAATAAAGCAAAACACCAAGCTACAGAAAAGGATACATCTGAAGTTCGTGTACCAGGTTAGGGTTAGGACAAAATTTTGTACAGATTTTTCATATTATAGTTCTATTATGAGTTCGGGGAGTGGGTAGGATTTAAATATTTATTAGTCTTTGATATTTTAACCCTTTATACAACTTGATGGGCCGAGGCCCATTTCGATGAGGCCGAGGCGTGGCCTCGGCCCATGGGCCGTAGAGGAGTAACTACTTCCCCTCGTCATTCCCGCATTTTAGATAAATTTTCACGTACATACACCCCCAATCGTATATTTACGCTGCTTTCGCTTTCTACAACAATTTCCCCTAAGTATAATCTAAAATAAATATTTCCCGTACCTTAAAAGCATTTTCCCGTCATTCCCGCTTTTTGTGAAAAAGCGAAATTTCCGGTAGTTCCCACATTTTAGTTTTGGCAATTTCCCGTCGTTCCCGCATTTCCCGTTTCCCGCATTTTAGGGTTGCCCGTCGTTGAGCCTAAAACACAGGTGCCTAAAAACCCTTGTCCAGTTGGCGGAAAGAAATATAGATTGCCCGTTGTGCAACAGTTAATACATGTCAGCTATCTTTTCTGTCTTTGTAGTTGAGATTATTGCAACTCAAACGCATTTCATCTTGCCCGGGTTCTTACTGACTTAGCTTTTGGATTAATAAACCAAAGGTTAAAAAGAGACACTGATCTAGGGATAACTCATATATCTGTAATGCTAATGCATTTATTCCTAAATTTGAAGGAAAAATACCTATAAAAATATCAGGACATGGCTACGAAAGCGTCCAGTGATGATGGTATGGAATACAGAGAAATGATGGCAAAATTAGCGAAACGTATTGATGATGGAACTTTGGAGAAATTGAAATATCAATGCAGAGATTTAATTGGTCCTGGTCGACTTGAAAAGGTCGCGAATGCTCAAGGCTTGTTTGAAGTTCTAGAAGAGAGGGATGAACTGAGTTGCGATAACTTGGAATTTTTAAATAAAATATTGAATTACGTTGGCAGATTGGATTTGTGCAAAATTATTACATCTTATACTGACTATATAGCTGCCCTCAATGACAGTGTTACAGATCTATATCCAACTGCAGCTCCGTTTAATAGCAATGAAGGTGATACGAGTGTTCCTGAACATTCAAACACTACTTCGTCAAAAATATTCCACCCCGATGGTGAAAAAGGACCCCAAAAGACTGATATTTCTCATGGTACATACAGCGCCGTCAATGAAAGACAGAATTGTACAAGACCTTTTGATACATCTTCAAATGTTCCCCAACACCAGCAGCCCAGTTCGAATCACAATCAAATGACTGGTAATCGTAATCAGTCAAATACTCACCAAGCAGCCCTAAGGATGGGTAATCGTAATCAGTCAAACACTCACCAGACAGACCCAATGATGGATAATCGTAATCAGTCAAACACTCACCAGGCAGACCCAATGATGGGTAATCGTAGTCAGTTAAACCCAATAGGTCATGCCATTCCTCCTCAAGTGGAAACTGCTCTTGAACTGGTAATTAGTTCGATAGCTAGGGGATGGCAGAGTGCAGCCAGGCATCTCGGTGTCCCCGATGTTATCATAGATAGTGCTCAAGACAATTGGCCCAGGAATGTAAGAAATCAAATAAGAGAAGCTTTCACATATTGGGCGAGGTAAATATATATGCAGTAATGCACACAACATTAATTTTTAAATCAATAGCTCTTAGACAGCCATTAGATACATTATAATGTATACATACAAAGTGCAGGAAAATCAATGTAAAATTATTGGAGTCATAGGTAGAAGATTATACATTTTTGATAATTTTGATTTAATATCATTTGCTTTCAGAAAAAATCCTTTTTTACTTTCGATTTGAAAATTACATTTAAGACCTACCATTTTTGATATAAGTTATGCCACTGATGATGACATGCAGTTGTCCAAATTCTTGTGATGAAAGGAAACTGAAAAAGGTGCATATCCACAAACTTTTGAGTAAAAGCTACTGTGTTACTGTAATTTCTTATTCCATTATGAGGGATTTTATTTTACTACCATATATGTATTATATAACTGCCATGGAGTAATTTACACGACTGAGAATAACGACTTTTATTTTCGACAGATCTGATGACGAGGCATCTGTTGCTAAATTAATTGAGGCAATGAGACGTTCTGGAAGGAATGATATAGCAGATGACTTGCAGTATGGCTGAAATGAATTCTTCAAATTTAACTATATACACTGTTCTATGTCTATTTTTTCTGTAAATCAAAGTGCAAGCAATGAAAAAAAGCAGAATCTGGAACTGGGTTTGAGCTGGGCCCAATCGTGGCATGAGCCCACAGACTATATCCTACTAAGGTAGTAAATTGATCTCAAATACACCCATCTCATACAACTGTATCAATAATATAGACACAGGAGATTTTTTTCATTCAAAAATCTTGCATGTGTATTTGTTTAAATTTGGTTTAGTGGAGTGTGTTGTTGATTTCAGCATATTGATTGAAAGCTTTGCACTTTTTGAATTTTTTTACAATGAATTTTGATTGCGATATTATAATCCTATTTCATGATTGTCCTTGTCAACTATAGAGTTCTCTTCACAACAGCATATGATTATCTAATCAAGCCTTGCATTACATGACAAATAACGGGTCATGGAATCGAATTATCTCAATACTATCCTGTGGATTGCAGTCTCACTGCTTAATAAAATAGGCTTCTCTGCCACAATGCAAACACATGAACATGTCAACACTGCTGTCCCGTAAAAAATCTTCATATTCTCGTCTAATAAAAAGTTTATTTTAATGCTTTAGAGAGAGTATTTCATCATATTCACCCAACGGAATAGGAAAATATGTCTTTTTCTTGAATTATTCATAGTCACCTGACTCGCCGTAAACACAGAAAGTTTCAATGTAGGAAAGTTATATTACTACAATGAGCAAGAAAAAAAAATTACTGAAGCAAGAGAACAATCACAGAATAGGGCTAGGATCAAATCATTGTAAAATATGCATAATAAAATTGTACGATTTTGGTTTTGTATGATGTTCTTGATATTTTAAACTCCAAGATAGTGATTTTCAGGAAGTATAATGTGGTTACACAGATTGTCAATTTAATACGGTAGAACCAATCATTCGACAAAGCTGTGCTGTTCAGATCAAAATGTGTAGTAACCTAATCCATCGAGCTTAAGGGTTTTGCGGGCTCGTTCATTTATCAGAACTCGATTTGACTAAATCTTTTGCTTCAAATGATCGAGTATAAAAACAAATGAAAATTCCAAATTACCTATGCAAAGCTGAAATGTAGGATTACCCCATACATGGGTCTGATATACAAAATGGAATTGAAACGCACGACTATTACATACTAAACTTTCTTTGAGATAAAGAAACAAAAGGTAAATTTAGGTGACTTTGTGATCCTTCTAACCCTACTGGTTGGTATTTGGATAGTGATGAAAGCTCATAAGTTAAAAATAAGAGTATATCAAGCAAATGTACAAAACACATCATTAAGGACTAATTGAAATCTATTAGCCAGTCTGAACATTACTGGAATCAAAAGTGCTTAGATTTTCTTACAATATTAACATGACGGCCGCTTTTCGGCATTATTCTTTGTATGAGCTTCCGCATTTTTATTAAATTTCTTTCGATCTTTCGTGTACTCTTCAGCAAGCTCTCCTCTCAGTGGGTGCTCTGGCTCTGGGTGTTCAATCATGTGAAGCAGAGCTTGCAGAACTGAAGGAAATGCATAAGCCAATCATAAATATTCAAGGCATATAATTAAATTTCCCTATTTTGTTATTGTAATACCAAGTTATGAGTTAGACACCCAATCATAGTCTGAGAGGGACCAGAGCACTATAAGCTGTTGGAGAAAAGTTTAACACTCCTGCGTTGTTATATTACATGTGGGCCACCGTTTAGAGGAATGATTTTGTTCGACTAAATAAAGTTAGGTACGAATATTATATCAACATCATGGCTGCTACTTTTAAAATCGTTGACGCAAACGGTACTAGAGCATATTTAACTATCATTTATCAGGTGTATGAATTTTAGAGGTCAAACGAACTGTTACGAAAATTAAATTTTCTGATATTCGATGAATCCATTGAATTTTTTTTTTCTACCAACTTTATTCGATCTTTAGTCCATTGATAATATTAAATCAATTTATTTTGTAGTCATTCTTAGTTTATGAAATGTTAACAATAATATAATATTGTACACAGGAGCGTAGCCAGGTGGTCCGGCCAGAAAACATTCATTTTCCAAAATCTTGAGGGTCTATAAAAATTGCTATGTAAAGGGGGGGGGGGGGGAATTTGAGTGGAAGCTTTCTGCCCAGATACAAATTCTACCACTAACCAACAATTTTATTGGCAAGTTAACAAATGTATTTAGTTTGATAAAAATATAATACAGTAATAGGTGATAGTAAATGAAACAAATTTTGAAACAACATAAATCTGCCAAATATACTGACATCTCTTTTACACAATGAATTTCTATGCAATTAGATAACATGATGAAACAATATCTGTAGCAGGAAATGCAGTTGTGAAATTCAAGCAAAATTCTGCTTGATGAATTAGCCAGAACGCCTTTGAATTTTTATGGCAATATAACAACTTACCCTGTGCAGTTTTTGTTGCTGGTTTCCAGTGTTCTGGGCTGATTATAGGAAGACATATTTGACCTTTCTCATCAACATTGGGGTGGTAGATGCTTGTTTTGAATGTTATTTTTGGTGGTTTAAATGGGTATGATGATGGAAAATTGATTTCTATCTTGAAAGCCCCTTTATTGTATGGACTTTGGTCCTAAAAATACAATTTAAAATGTTTTCAACTGTTACTTTTTAAATCTAATAAACAAGTACTGTAAAATATTAAATATACCGGCAGAAGAAGGATCCTCCAAAGTAAGGCGTTTGAATCGTCTAATTTTACTTCAAGCCTTTTGTCTTTGTCACTGTTAATATCTTGATATTCCTGAAAATCAAGATGTCAACAAGTTTTTTTATGTGCCGCACAAATTGAATAGCTGAGTAATGCTCAATTTGAATGATGAACAAAAAATACATTAACTTGTGATTAATCAAATTAGAAACTAAGAGCCTCATAGCAAAAATTATACTGATTTGATTTTTGTAACCAACTCAATTTTTCATAAAGATGAGGGCATAAATTATACACTAATATGCTGAATATGGCTTATCAATATTAAAAATACAGTACTCCTGTAGTATGTGTACCGGGTTAGGCCATAATTTTATTCTGATTTTCCTTATTTTAGTTCTATTACGAGTTCAGGGACTGTTTGTGTTAGCAAAGTGAATATACCCCCTGCCCATAGGCTTTTGCCTCTTTACACAACTTGATGTAAAGTACCCAAACAAAATTTGTTACCTCCATATTGGTACACATACTTCTGTAGCGCCAAAAATACAGCATACAGAAAATTATGGAACCCTGTCATCAGGAGTCGATGAAACATACTGACATGCCATAACTCTGTTACTGGCATACAACAATTAACATTGCAATGACGTTATTACAGTCATAATCCATGTAATCACATTTCCCTGCATTAATTCAGACAAAGGCTGAATAATTACACTTTTGAAATATTATACTCACTTTTGCTAATCTTTTTGATGCAGACATTTTGCTGAATGTCAGACTATAGCAATTAACTTTAATCTAGGCTATATTCCTGTATTCTAGAGTAGGAGGTATATCTAAAATAGAATTTCCATATTTATCCCGGGGAGAGTAAAGCCGATAAGACGGATTATTCATATGGCAAACCACGGTCTCTCATCCAGTTTCCAGCCCATGTTGGGTACCGGTACCGGTATGGGGGTTAGGCTGGTTAGCCAATTACGGTACCTACCAGTATCTGTTTCAGACGCATGGACTTGATGATGAAGGAAGCCTAAACCGACTAGCGGTTACCGAACCGCAGTACCGGTACGTGAACCACCCTCAAGCAAGGGATTTGTACCCACGCATGATACGGTAATCAGAGGTGCGGTGGTAAGCGTGTTCCTCCTAACGCTTAGCACCGATGCGCCACTACCCCCGAGATAAATATGTAAATCTTATCCTATACCGTACATGCAAATGTTTCACTGTCTGTACTAGGAACAAACCTCCCGAAGTGACGGAACTTCCTGTGCTGAAGCTCCATTAAACGCACTAAACCAAAGCCTGAGGTACAACCGAGCTTTTTCTTTAACCTTTCACCCCAGAAAAAATCTTCTTGTCATACCATAGTTACATCATAATGATAGTTATTCGACTGTATGTTAGTCGTTGCTACTAACTGATGCCGAAATGGATGGATGTCTTTCCACAGAGAAAGATAATGATGTTGACCATCTATAGCAGTGTTTCCCAAACTTTTTTCTGCCAGCGCCCCCTTGGACGACTTTTTAACTAGCAAGCGCCCCTCCCCCCCTCCTGACAAAAAAGTCAAACAACATTATTCTCCATTTAACATTAGTATAATGTGAAGGTTTGAGCATAGCGAAATATCTGGCTCCATTTCAGTCAAAAACAGTCTTTAGTCTTGTCTGGCATTGTCAAGGGAATCTCTCTTGATATGTAAAAGTACGGTCACTGCGCGCTCTACCAAGAATGAGCTGTCACGAGCAATAAAAAAATTTCGACCAGATCTCACACGTGAGGATATTTCAATTTGATTCTGTTGCCAAAAAATAGAACAATGAAAGACTGAACATGGGTTTGAAAGTATAAACTCAATGGTAATGGTGCATGTTCGTTCGGGTTATTTAGAAACGGAAACCAAAAATTTCATAACTATTTCCAAAAAAATCATTTAGTTTTGAACTTGAACTTCTGTTTGCCTATAATTATACAGAAGTTTTGCAAAATTTTCAACCACTCACTTAGTTTTCTGCTGGAGCGCACCTTCTGCTGCCAGAACATGGAAATGAAAGGGTTCAAACGGTGTGAATACAGAACAATACGTGGGAAGGATTGATAGAGATGACCAGCGATGGTTCCAGCATGACCACCCATACATCAAATCAGACGCTTGCTGTCCTGAGAGAAAAGTCAGCAATGACATTCAGTAGGCTCCTTAATTATCGGACTGAATTCTCTCAGGTTTTGATATGTAGGGTGTTCGAAAGACAATCCATAAACGATTGGGGAACTCAAGGCTGCAATTGCAGAAATAAAATAGAGAAATACCCAGAGAAGAGTGATTGACAATGTTGCAAAAAGTAGGTAGGGAAGATGGGGCACGTTGGGACATGGGGCACAGTGGAAAATCAGCTCTCACACTAATACTATATTCGGAATCCTGTCCGCGGTTTGATGTTTCAATCCGCCCTTCGGTGAGTTACAACGTCCCCGCAAACAGACAGCGGACGGGTAGAGCGACGCAAGCTATGAGGTGAAATTGGTTTTGGGGGGTTGAAACTAAAATTTCACCGTTCCAGTTTTTTCTTTCTTCTAACTTAGCCTTTTCAACATGACAAACCACCGTCTGATATTTTTCAGCTATAGTCCACCGTGAAATATTTATAACGTTGGCGAGTGGATGGGCCTTCCGAATTTCGCCGTGGGATGATCTGAAGATATTTGTGGGTTAGAGAGAGAGAGAGAGAGAGATTTATTGCCACAAAAACAAAATCAACACTAATATAAACATACTACAATAACGAAAATATTCCACAGTAATTGATTATTGCTTTGTGCGGGTCGGTGTGCAAGACCGATTAAAGTCATCTAGTGCTATATATAAGTTCATCATAGGTGAATACAAATGAGATTAAATATAAATATATAAAAAATGAATACGAGGATAAAGGGAAACGAGTCGGCAATTTAATGGTATTATGGAAGTTACTAAGGGCAATTTAGGATTTAGAGAGGTCATGTGTTGGTTGAAGCCGGAGATGTCCAATGAAAAAATTTTCACGAAAAGCATATTTTTTGTTATTGGACACAGACCGGGATCAAAAATGAATACGGAGGATGAAAAATAATATTATCACAGATTCAGTAATAGACCGAGTGCATGATGTAAAAAAATATCATTACTTGTCGATCTTGTTTATCGATCTTTGTCTGTTTGTCTGTCTGTTAGATGCAAGCGATATCTCAAGAAAGCGGGGTTTAATCTCCACCCAATCCAATTTTGCATGTGCGTTCATCATTTCACGGACCATATGGCTATTGATTTTGGTAGAGTTATGTCGTATAATTAGGGAGCTATTAATTAATTGGTGTTTGGACACACGGTGTCACTATAGAGTCATGAATCGAAACCGCAGTTTTGATCGATAAGTCTTTGGTCTCCGACCGATACTCTCGTTTGACACCTTAATTAGTTCACGATATAAAAAGGTTATTGAATTAAAAGTGGCTACCAACATTCTTAAGTATTAATACATACTTTTGAAATAGAATAGTAGGTAATATATGATCCACAGTTAAATATGAACAATTAAATATGCAATTATTATTGCAGTTAATCACTTTTTCACAATATATAAAGGTTATTAAATTAATTAACAAATGGGCTACTATCATTTATAAGTATTTATGCATACTTGGAACTAGAATATTAATATGTGATCCACAATTAAATACGCAATAACTATGCAGTTCATCAGTAATACCACAATAACTTCCAATGACATAAAAAAGGTAATTACAGTATATTAGGCAGTACTATATGGATCAAGGGAGCAAGATTTTATACTCAATTACATGGAGAAATGAAAATAACAATGAGCCAATCATAAGATATAAATATCAATAACAATGGGTTTTAAAGTCGAACATAGAAATCATCAAATTGATGCCAATGAAAGAAAAGAGGACAGCAATTTTATTACCTATATACATACATGAGTTGGAAAAAAGGCTATGACCCTCAGTGTGCAGTGTTTATATGAAACAGTTAAATTTATAGTAATGTAGTAATTTATATAATGCAGTTTTCAACACAGTTCTAAAGGCATATTAATTAAACTACAGATATTAGGACAAGTTAGAATATTTCAGTAGGAAATATTTTTTCAGTTTCTTACTGAAAACATGCACAGAACTTTTTTTAGTTTCAGGTGGAACATTGCCCCAGACCTGTACACCCATATACTTCAAAGATGTTTTGTCCACCTCAGTGGACACTTGTGGAGTAAAGAAAACCTTGTTTCTTTGAGACCTGGTGCAGTAATTGTGCACTTTTTTTAATGGGGTGAAATAATACCGATGCATGAACTTTGCTATTTCTGGCGTATGTATATCAGACAGCTGTAGGAATTCATACTGGTAGTAGAGCTGCAAATTAGTTACACGAACTTTCTCTGCAATTGCCATACATCGTAAATCTTTATTCTGCAAAACATGAACTGGCTGTAAGGAAGACCTTGATGCTGAGCCCCAACTTAGCAGACCATATTGCAGACGTGAGTGAAATAGACTAAAATATACTAATTTAAGTGTTTTAGATTTCAAAATATGCCTTAACCTGTAAAATATTCCAAGAGTTTGCGATAATTTCTTGGATTTTGTTTGTTCTATAATGTTGCTGCCAATGCCAACTCTAAATGTGGAAATACCATACTTTTTATCACAGAACAACATAAATTTTGTTTTTGAATAATTTAGGGATAATTTGTTCGCTTTAAGCCAATTATCGACCTTCTGGAGTTCATGATTCACCACAGTTTGGAGTTCTAAACTACAGGATGCTGATTTTAGCAGAGAAGTATCATCGGCAAATAATGTCGAATGAAAAGTAGATGCCAAAGATAGATCGTTTATGTAGCATAGAAATAACAGCGGGCCAATCGTGGAACCCTGGGGTACCCCACATTCAATAAGGCCCATTTCATAGATACAACCCCCATATTGGACATATTGTTTGCGGCCACTTAAATATGATGCAATAAGATGATATGCCTTTCCTCGAATGCCATAATGATATAACTTATCTAGTAAAATTTGGTGGTTAACAGTATCAAAAGCTTTCGCAAGATCCAAAAAGATGGCACATGTGATCTTGTTATTGGCCTTATTTTCCATTATCATTTCTTTGAGCCGTGCTATGGCTAGCTCAGTTGAATAGTTGTTTCGGAAACCAAACTGGGAAAGGCTCAAAGTTTCATGTTTATCGAAATAATATTTGAGACGATGATATAAATTTTTTTCATAAATCTTGGCAATTTGTGATAGCAGGGAGATTGGCCTATAATTATTCGGATCATGCTTAGACCCTTTCTTATGGAGCGGGATCACCTTAGCTATTTTCAGTATATCTGGATACACATGATCTGTAAAACTTTGATTAAAAAGAGAGGATAAAATTGGTGATAAAACAAGCTTGGCGATTTTGAACATTTTCACTGGTATATCATCACTACCTACAGCTTTATTACTATCTAATTTATCTATTTGTTTTTCAATTTTCAGTGGTGTGGTATCACGAAGAAAAAATGATTCACTGATGCTTGGTCCAAGAGTATGCATGTGGCTGTTCACAGCTGGACTTATTTTTGACGCAAGCATTGGACCAACTCTTAGGAAATGATGATTCAGGGCAGCACAAATGCCAGTATCATCAGAAATTTTCTTACCATCACTTATAATATAAGGTGGTAGTTTGTTAACCTTGGAATAATTACCAATTTCTTTGCGAATTTCGGTCCATGTTTTTGCAATATCTTTTTGGTGTTGAGAAAATATGTTTTTATAATATTCTTGTTCGGCTCTTGTGAGAGTCCTACATAACGCATTTCTATACTTCTT